GCACAAGGGGGCTGCCCGACGTCCTCATCCCCACTGATGCTCACTCTGTTCTCGCAGCAGGGCTAAATAAATTACTGTTTTTTAGGGACACTAGCAGGAAAGGTGGGTGCTGCAAAGGCAGGTAAACCCGAAACACCAGGAAAGGAAGATCCCGCGCCCAAAACCTGTGATTTCACCAGAAGCGAAAGGTTTGCACCCGAGAAGTGGGTTCGCCCATGGCCCCCCCCCACCCTTTGATGACGTCTGGCGCGACCACATTTCATTACCGGCCCCCGCGTCCCTCTGTGCCTCATCCAGAGCAAGACTAATTGATAGGGCCCAAGTGCCAGCCAGTTGCAGCCGAGGAGATCTAATTACCCAGTCGCCACGCGGCTCTAATTGATGGAGGGAAGGTGGCAGCTTCCAGATGAGACCTGCCCACCTCTGCTCTGGGCCCATGCCAGTGGGCACCGCAGGGAAACCCCTGCCCTCCCCAAAAAATATCACCCGCCCTCCCCACCCCGCTGCGGTGATTTGCAGGATCCGGCCCGCTGCAAATTGATTTTCGGCAACTGAAAAGTTCCCGTACGGAGCCGAAAGGCGGGTGCGCATCGGATCTCCTCCTCGAGTCACTCTCGCACACACGAAACAAAGGAGGAAAAAAAAAAGAAAAAAAAAAAAGCCTTGAGAAATCAATAGGTCCATAACCCAGCTAATATCTCCATCTGTTAAGGGACTCGATGCAGAGCTAATAATAGACCCCGACGCGCTCGGCTCGTGCGCCCTTGTCACCAAACTGCACCTTGAAATGCAACTGAGGTGGCGAAGCGACACCCAAGGGAGCCTTCGACGGAGTTATCGCCACCCTGGGTGCCACCCTTAGTGGAGAAAAGGTGATGATGGGTGGCTGGAAATCACAAAAGTTGACCTTCGGTGACCCCTGGACACGAGCTGGGCGGTGATGGATGATGCTGGCAGCCATCCGCATCCAGATAAAAACCTTCATCTCCTGGGAGCTGTGATTTGATTTAGAGCTTGGAGAGCGGCATCCAATTAGCCCAAGGTTTGGAGTGAACGGGAGGCCTCGGAGAATGATGCTGGGCGGGAAGGGACCGGCCCTTTGGTCACCTCTGAGTCCAACCAGCGCTGCCTTGAGGATAGTGGGGCTTTCATGAGCCCCATCTCCCAACACTCCTGTTTGTGGGGTGCTGGGATCAGCATCTTACCAGCCCTACTCAGGAGCCAGGCTCCTCTTATTACAATAGTGAAAGTTAAAAAGAGAGGAAAAGAAAAAAAGGCAAAAATTAAAATGAAACAGAAGAGAAGCATTGCCTTTCCTCATCGCTGGGGAGGTGATGCTTTCGGAGAGGAGGAAGCTTCCTCCCCTCCTCTCCCCCAAATCCTGCTCGCCAGCAGTTTACTTCCTACCCAGTTTGTTCCTACAAAACAGCTCATGCCTATAAACCAGCTGGGCATCAGCCCATCTCTAGTTTCCAAGTACACCCCAACCTGTCAGGAAAGGGGCATTTTGGGCTCCACTTCCCCCAGGTTTGGGCATGGCCTAGGAGCACCACCCCACCCCGACAGAAAGCCGGGCATTTTTAGGGATCCCCTAAAAGCCTTGTGGTTGCACCGTGAGCCGAGCCCAGCAGGTCAGGTCCCGCAGGGGATGTGCAAGCCAAAACTCCCTGGGGCGCAGTCCCATTTCTCCTTCTGGCTTAAAAAGGGAGTTGAGAGTTGTTTAAATATTTAAATACCCCTCACCGAGCAGATGCCTTAATGCTCTCCGCTCACCTGCTCCTGGGCAGCTCCGACCCAAGGGCAGGCATGGGCACCCTCTGGCACACAAACCGTCGCTGAATAAAATCAGGATTCGCACGAGTGGGGCTGCGTTACCTTCCCTGCGCCTCTTTGGCTTTCTGGAAGTGATTAGAGACGCTCGGCAGTGGTGTCACACTGTCCCTGATGGGGACGGGAGCGGGTGGAGGGAGGGTCCCGGCGGTATCGAACTCCTCCGGGCAGGCGTGCAAGACCGCTTGCTGCAGAGATACATTTTCTTTAATTGATGTCGCCTCGCAGCGCAAAGTTACGGCCTGAAAAGTGACTCTGGGAACGAGCGGCATCACAGGCTTCTATATTTATTCTCCTTCAATGACGTCCATCGCAGATTTGCACCGTTTGCAAGTCGATGGGAGGTTTTTGCCAGCTGCCAGCACTCTCAACCCAGCTGAGAAACTCCCCTCTTTCCTCGCCGCGTGTGTCCCACCAGCCCTGAGCTCACGTCCCCATCCAAACAAAAGTCAAACACTACCACTAGAGCTCAGGAGCAGGTTTTAGGCTCAGGCAGGGCATGGCTATTAGCCGAACCTTGGCGGCGAGTCCTGCCCCAGCCCGGGCTCTGCTCTCCTGGTTTTGCTCTGCAGCTCACGGGCTAATTCAATGAAATGTCTGCCTGGTAAATTAGCCCGGCCGCTGCCTTACCAGAATCATCTCCCAAGGCCTAATTGGAAAAAAACAACATCAGGGGCTGCCTTTTCAAAACAGATTATGACAGCAAACAACAGGGCAGCTCCCGGGCGGCTGCAGCCTGCCCCGCACGGGCTCTCCTGGTTTTGCTCTGCAGCTCACGGGCTAATTCAATGAAATGTCTGCCTGGTAAATTAGCCCGGCCGCTGCCTTACCAGAATCATCTCCCAAGGCCTAATTGGAAAAAAACAACATCAGGGGCTGCCTTTTCAAAACAGATTATGACAGCAAACAACAGGGCAGCTCCCGGGCGGCTGCAGCCTGCCCCGCACGGGCTCAGCCTGGCAGGATTCGGGTGGATTAATCCACGGCTGCAAACCTTGTCCGGGACAGAAGGACAGAAACAGAATGGGAACACCCCCCCCCTCACGGGGCAGGACTGGGACCCTGCAAATTTTTTTGTGCGTCGGACGCTCCGTGCTGCGAAGTGTAAAGGGAACAAGCCAAGTTGTGGGGGAAATGAGGGGATCCCCCCACCCAAAGCACAAATGAAATTTCACCCAAAGAGTGATGGCAAGGCAGGAGAGAGGAAGATGCAGCCCCCTCTTTGGACCCAGCACTCACCCCAGGGCTTCTTGCCCAGATCCCAAACCACTGGGTCACTTTGAAGCCTTTAAACTCTTAATTAACGAATCCACAGGGTTAAGCAGGGGGCTGAACCCGCTGCTGGCCCTAGACTCTGCAAACACTGATTTTTAGAGGAGTCACAAACTGATGTTTTGATTTATCCTTGCCCATAAGCTTGCTTAAAACCCACCATATAGGGGAGGCCAGGATGGGGCCAGCCCCTTCTGCCTTTTGATACACCGTTAATAAAACTATTGAGGAAAAAGAATCTTTAAGGCATAAGAATCACCCATAGCATGGGACGACCACACTCCCTCCTTCAGCAATAACACCCCTGTGAGCGGCACTGGACTCCGGCGCTGGTTCTGCCTAAGTTAAATCTGAGTGTGGATCAGCCTGCGGACAGAAATCACAGTGGCAACTGGGAAAACTTTAATTGCAGCCTGCTGCAGAGAATGCCCCAAAAAAAGGCTTCTCCCCAGTAGAAAGTGAGTTTTGTGCGATCGGTTTCCGACCTGAGGCTTTCTCGTCCCTTTGGTACTTCGAGCCGCACGGGGTTTGGCCCAGTGGTTTTGCACGGGTTAATGGCAGCCAACACTCCCCCCCTTGTTCCCCAAGGACAAGCCAGGTCACAGAGGTGACACCATCCCCCAGCTGAGGCTCCAGTAATTTGCAGTC